TTATTTTATTTTATAAAATATTTTCTTTTCTCGTCCATCTTTCCATACTATTCATTTATTAATTTTTTTCTTTAAACAAAAATACAAAAAAAAAAAATAGAAATAACAAAAAAAAATAATTATTTTTTGAAAAAAAAATAATTAAATCATTTCTCAAAATTAAAAAAAAAAACTAATTTATAATTTAGTCCATTTCAAGAACAACAAACAAAGGGAAATAAGTATGCATGTATTTTACTTAAATTTCATGATAGTCGCACTTGGCTAGCTCCCAGACCTGTGCTGCTGTATGATTAATAAAATGGGACCTCCCATGAGGCCGACGCAAATGACTACATGAAAGCCTAAAATTGAACAAGGGACCCGAATGATCGTCAGCCGTGTAGTATTGGGTTACAATTAAGGATTCATTTCTCAATTGTTGAAAATTTATAAGAATACCTAACCCAATAACTGAATCTTTCAATACAGTAGAGTAGTACCATATGATTAACTTGCCAACTAAATCCCTTTAAATATATATATATATATATATATATATATTTTGCAGGCACAAATGAAAAAGGAAGGCTACCAAGACTATAACTTAAAACAATTCTTAAAGAGTCATCAAGTGGCTCAAAAGTCCAATAATTGAAATGGACATCAACTTAAAACTACACTTAAAAGCTAAAATTTATTATCAAAGAGCTTGTAATTTAGTAGTAATAATCTCTTGTTGCAAGAGGTTCCGATTTAAATCATTACAAACTAATTTTGCTAAAGGCCTTGAATTTATGAATTAAAAAAAAAAATCATTTTAATAGCGAGATGATAGATTTTTTATGGTAAAAGATGACGGTGCAAATGTTAATATAAGTAAGGATAACGGTTGACTAACACTACAAGAGGGAAAAAAAAAGAAAAAAAAATAAAGCACTTATCATATCGTCAATTAGTGATTAATTGATGTCCGCATTTCAATGTTCATAAGATTTTTTTTATATGCAATTATGCTATGTTCAAGTTAATTAGTCACAACGTTTTTGAACGCTTAATTGTTTATCTAAAAAAATAATAATAATTAAAAATTGTGATAAATTAGGCGAGCAATGATCTAATTTTAAAATAAATGACCAAATTAAAATTAGAAAAGAAGCAAAGTTGTTTGAATGAAGATAGATTAGTGATGTCCATCTTATCCCATACCTATAGGTATGCAAATGAGTTTTATATATATATATATATGTGTGTGTGTGTGTATATATTGAATTCATTATTTTATATAAGCGTGCGTGCAAATGAGTTGATGAAATAAGATATATATATCCTTCCAATACTTAAATTAAACAGAATTCTAAAAAAAAAAATTGTGTATGAAGTTTTTTTATTGGTAATAAACGGGACATAAATCATATCCACTAATAATGGAGGTGAAACTGTGTAATTTTTTATGCATAAAATGTCAAACTTGAAATTTGAGATTCGTCACCTTATATATTACCAAGTTTGTTAATGGGTCATTAATGGTGGTAGAAACTTCCATGAATTAGTAAATGATAAGTACAAGTTTGTCACGATCCGAACCGGCGAGCCGCGACCGGCACGTAGCCCGAGGTGGGGTGACCCACCATAGGCTACGTAAGCCTTAATCCTTTCTCTATTTCCTACGTAAATTTCGACAAGCATTTCCCCTATAATTAGACGATCCCAAAAATAATATATCCCGCATAAAAATCACAATAGATGTACACTTCTAAATCATCTTCACCAATTCTCAATCATCCTCAAGTCCCTCCATTGGACATCCACACTTCCTCATAAATCTCAATATTTACTAAATTGACAAAAATACACATAATTCAATATTGAACATAACCAAATTTATAAATCACCATTTAACCATCTAGATACAAAATATGGAGACCCTTAACTAGCTATCTCTCGGATTTGGTGATGCTACCACGTGAGCAACTAAATGAAATAAAATACATAATGACTAATTACAATTCCAAAATGGACAATGAATACAAATTTAAAACAACCATGTCCTATACCCGGAGGAAGCAAAATAATATCCGGGTAGTACCTTCAAATCCAGAAAATCTATCGCCCTCCTTCTATGATCTAGCTTACGTATTATCTACAAAATATTTGAGGTTGGGGGGTGAGTTTTCAAAACTCGGTAAGCATAACACATATTATAAATCGCTATACATACAATTATGCCAATGCACATATCATACATGATTTGCAACCAAGCAAACAATCAATAACATTTTTCTTTTTCTTTCTTTCTTAACAATTAATAATAGCATAACAATTTCTTGAAATCACTCTATGCGGAACTCGTCTATTCCTTTGACCCTCAAAAGGGTAACTATAGCCCTCGCAAGGGTAACTCGTAAACTCTAGCCCCCGCAGGGGTAAACTCGAGGGAAGCACTCGCGGCCATTCCCTAGCCGGCAAAGACTAGGTACACCTAGGCTAACTATAACCCCGTTAGCTTAGTTAGTCCCGCATAGACTTCTTTCAAGTCATCAATCTCGTTATTATCATTCAACACATAGCAATCATACAATTCCATTTAATGCAAGTGATCATCATATCAACATGCACATATACCATTCAATGTATCAATATTCCTTTAATAACCATAATTCATACGGCAACATACCAATTCAATTCATCTATACTAAAATAATTCAATTCACATGCAATTATTATTATTATTATTATTATTATTATTTTAATAATTAAGCATTTATCCAAACAATCAATTTTCACCTCACAATCAATATAGACATATATGATAGTAAAGACTCATAATAGGTGTTATACTTACCTCTAATCTAAAGGAACACCCCCAAATTATAATTGCCTCTTCTTTAAGCAACTTCTTCCACCAAATCTTCTCTTACCTCTATCATCATAAATTTGCATTCATCAATAATAACAATAATTAAACACTAATAAATTGAAATTTAAGCTTAATTGGACCCTAATTAACCCATTCACTCACTTTCCTCAAATTTCCTAAACTAACATAAACCCTAATTTTAATTAAACCTAATCCCTAATTCAAATTCTTAATTCAAAAATAAAATTTACTAAATTACCTATAACCCATCCTAATTAAGGTTATAATTAACTAAAACATTCAAAAAAAAATCCAAAACTCACTTAATAAATTTTTTTCCTTCTTCCTTATTTCACCTCTTTTTACCCTCATTTTTCTTCTCCTTACCCGAGTCACTCCACCACTGCCGTCGCCGGAGCCGTCGCCGGAGTGGGTGGTCACCGGCGAGTCTTCTTCTTCCTCTCCTTCCTTCTCCTCTCTTTCCTTTCTTCTTTTTCTTTCTCTCCTCCCCTTTCCCGTTTTTCTTTTGTTTCTTTTCCGGTTTCCGCCAATCTTTCCTTTATTTCTTTATTTTCTTTGCTTTTAAATTAACCTAATACCCCTCATTTAAAAACCCTCTCTTATTTACTTACATGGGCTTATGGGTATTACAAAGTTAGACATTTATAACCATTGGTATTCTTACTCTCCTCATCCATTGTCGCCTCCCGTGGTAATAATATTAATTTTTTTAAAAAATATATTATTATTATTATTATTATTACTATTATATTTTCCTCATCCTCCTCCTGTTACTTCACTCTTACCACAATCATTATTATAATCACTTCTATAATTTTTTTTATTAATATAGTTAATAAAATTATTTTTTAATAATTATTATCATTTATATTAAAACTCATATATTAAAAAATTTAAATTTTAGTTAAATTTTTTATTATTATTTCAAAAAAATAGTATAAGAATGTAAATATCATTTTAATTTTTTTAATTTAATTTTGATTCTTACATATCTGATTTTGAATTTTTTATTTTTAGTAATTAAATAATACATGAAGAATAAAGAATCTTTTAATCATAATGAGAAGATGCAAAACATTATCCGACTTCATTTATTTATATTTTTTTATTATGATATGGATATCTTTAAATCATGTTGGGTGCATCACCGTTAAATTTCTTTATGAAATGAATTTCCAATGGACCATCTACGTTGCTTATGAGGATTTTTAACATACATAAAAACTGCTAACCATATTTCCATTGACAACATTGCCTAACTTGTTAATTGTCTTTATTATATCATGAAGTTGTGAAAATCATTACAGAAACACTAAAACTGAAAAATAAAAACAAATATTAAAAGAGAAAATATATAATGATTATGAAACTTTAAATGTATTAGATAATCTTGCGAAACTTGGTATTATCAAATATGCTATCAAATTATAAAGGTATTATTAATTTTACATCCAAACTATTTTATTTTATTTTGTATTAATTTTACCATTAAATTTTGATTTCTCAATAAAATTTTTTTGTTATAGTCACTTAAAAAAGACATTAAATTTTCTAAAAAAAATGTCTTCTTTATATTAGAAAACAGTATAATTTAGATAGAAATATAAATAAAAAAACCTTTTAAAATAGATAAAAATCCTTAATTGAGAATTTTTAAAACTTTGAGGATAAAATTAATACAAAAATTATTTGGTGGTAATATTTTTGAGATTTGCCCATTTATCTTTTTTTACGGTGTACAAAAACCAAAATTTAAAAAGACAAACCTAAAAAACACCATCCAACTATATAAGCAGTCTCAATTTCAATATTACAAGTAAACAATTGTTAGTATCAATTTTACCGTTAAATTTCTAGAAATTCTGAATTATTTACATTCATATTATAATGTTTTTTTTTTTAATGACATCATTTTATAATAAACTTATTAATAAAATTGATATTAAATTTTTTTAAATAAAATTTAAAATACTGGAGTATATTTGAAGTTCGTCCAATTTTAAAAAACGTTCCATCATCTTCCCAGACGAGACAACTAATAGAAGAAACCAAACAGATCCCTAATTCTTTCAAAGCTTCTAAACGCCTTAAAACACCTCAAAATCCAAAATTGGAGGCCTCTTTTGCTTCTCTAAGCAAAATGTCAAAATCAAATCTCCTGATGATAACAACTCTTGGGTTGATTTTGACAATTGCAGAATCGATGAGGTTTGATCTGCAATCAGGACACACAAAATGCATATCAGAGGATATAATGAACAATGCAATGACTGTGGGAAAGTACAATGTTGTCAATCCTAATGAGGGTTATCCTATCCCTGACGCCCACAAGCTCACTGTCAGAGTAATCTCCCGATCCTACTCTCTAACACCCCCCTTTTTTTGTTATCTGGGTTTCGTTTCTTTTGTACATTTTTGCAATTTTTCATATCTGGGTTTCTATCTGTATTTGCATATCTGGGTTTGTGTCTTTGTATTTGAAAACAATAAATTTAGAAATGCTTAACTTTTTTGTTTTAAAAAGGTATCATATTGAGGAGAAATCGCCATTAGATTTGTTGGGGGCATTAGTGCAAGGCTATCCAAGTAATGAATAAAGATAGTTTTTGGTAATTTGTGATTTTTGGGATCTAATTTGGTGGTGTTGGTGATGGTGGGGGTGATACAGGTGACATCGCCATATGGTAACAATTACCATCATGGGGATCAGGTGGATTCAGGTAATTTTGCATTTACTGCATCTGAGGCTGGTGATTACACTGCTTGCTTTTCGGCCGCTGATCACAACCCAGAAACCACATTGGCTATTGAATTTGATTGGAAAACTGGTGTTGCTGCTAAGGATTGGTCTAAGATTGCTAAGAAGGAGCGAGTTGATGTAAGAGATTGTTTTGACTCGTGCTCGGTGTTACTATAGTATTTTTAAGATGCTTATAAAGTTTACTGCTATGTATTGCGCGTGAAGTCTTTCTGCTTTCCTGAATGAACATTGCTATTCTTTGAGGGGCTTTGGCGACAAAGCTTTACTTCTTTTTCTTCTTCTTCTTATATATATATATATATATACATGGTACAGATTGTCTTTCAGCATATCTTATACTAGTTTTATGCTGCTCTTTTGTATTTGCTGATTCATTATTGATGCTAGTTTTGATCAATCATGGTACTAAATGCATCGCTCGTTTGAATCTTTCTACAATTGTAATGGACAGTACGGCATGATAATGCTTTTTTGAGCATTATCTGCTATGTGAGTTGGGTTCTTACTTAGATCCAGGTGAATTGAGCATGAGGAAAACATTTTATAGTTTGGTCATTAGGCAAGTGTTGGTATGGTAGTGGTATTAACATTCATAGAAAGACATGAGTTTGGGGAGGATCCCCAAGTTAGATATAGAGTCACTGTAAATAGGTAATGAAGGTTGGTGTCTTGTTCAATTGATGCTCCAAGGAATCCTTTAAGTATCATCTACCTATATTATCTTCCAATTACACCAGATGGTAATAAATAGTTTCATCAACTCTGGGATATGTTCTGTGATTTCCCCCCCCCCTTTTTGGTCCGAATATAATAAAAGTCATGGATCTATTCTCTGATGTCCAGTTTAAATCGTGAAGTGATTTTTAATTTCTGTTACAAATATTATCTGCTCAGAATGTTGAATGTATGCCATTGCTAAGTATGTGCTTTGTAAAGAATTGGCTTGCTTTTTGTATAGAATATTCCAATAATCCCATGACTGTTTGGAAATCCGTACCTAAAATGATTTTTTTTTTTTATTTCTATCCTTGGATATCCTACGCGAGCTACCCTTGGAGGTGGATCCAAAATATATTTGGTTGATGTTTTTCCATGAAAAAAAACATACAAATAAAACTGTATAATCCTGCTAAAGATGTTTGTTTGATGCATAACTTTTCTTGCTCTAGGTTATGGAACTTGAGTTGAAGAAATTACTGGATACAGTCAAATCCATTCATGAAGAGATGAATTATCTTCGTGGGAGGTATGAAAGCAATTACTTCTTTTAAGCCAAGCCTTCATATCGTGTCTTTGGATCAGTAGGTTGGTGATTCGGTGCTGGTATGGTTGTCCATAAACACCATTGGATTTCAGCGCTCTTTCTAGTTTGCTTTCGCTGATATTGTTTTTCAATATGTTGCTGCTGTCGGTTTACCTCTGTGTGAGTGGCTAAAATTTATTGCTCTCAAATGTCAAAAAAAAAAAAAAAAAAAAAAAGTCGCTGCGCTCTATTATCTAGAGTTTTAATTAGCTTTTCTTCTTTCTTTTACTATTCATTTGACTGAGAAGCATTACTTTTGCTCTGAATTTCATGTTTGCCTTTTCCTTTTCTCTGTTGTTCGTGATCCAGGGAGGAAGAAATGCAACATCTTAATCGATCAACAAACTCCAAAATGACCGGCCTTAGCTTCCTTTCAATTCTGGTTTGCTTATCCGTGGCTGGTTTACAACTCTGGCATCTGAAGACATATTTTGAAAGGAAGAAGCTCCTGTAGGTTTTTTTTTTCCTTTTTTTAGCATCCAGAGTTTTTATTTGTAACTCTTTGTTCTCAGCAGTTAAATGTTTAAAATTTGTATCCTCAATATTAAATTTCGAGGACCTACGTCACTGACAAATTTGTTAATTACCTGGAGTTCAAAGTGCTGAGAGAAGTTGACAATAGAAAGTATATCCTGTCTCATTTTTTACATGTATTAGAATGTTAATTTGTTGAAAACCGGTTCTTTAGTTGAAATGAAGGAGTTCCTTAGTTTTTTATATCTTGTTTGCCGCATTTTTATAGTTTTGGACAAGGGAGGATTGAATTTGGGTTCTTCTCATTGATTTAAGAACTCTGACCACCTCTAGTTTCTTGCTGATGTATAGAGTTGTTTTAATGAAATTTTGTTAATTAACTTTAGGCATTGATAGTGAGCATTATTGATGATATTTATTATCTTATATTTAATCTTTTGGATGTGATTTTAGATTATATGTATTGAAGTAAAATTATTTTGTGATTTAGAAAATGATTGGAGTCAAAGGACCAAAAGTTTGTTAATGGGGATAAAATTCATATTCTAGTTGGTTGACTTTTAAAGGAAGAAATTGAAATTTTATATTCTTAGAGAGAACATAAAAGAGACTTTTTTGAAAATCAAAATGGATACTTAAGCATTTTAGATTGGGCTTAAATGTATAAATCCATGTTGTTTTGGATCTGTCAAAGTCAATTGTAAAGTTAGTGAAGAATTCGGATTTCGTGACTTGTCTAAACTACTATCTAGTATTTGAATCATATTTGGAGTTATACATATTTGATTAAGATGATTTAAAAGCCTATAGAAATAAGGCTTCCGTGTCTACAATCTTTATGAAAAACTAGAGTCCGGATTTTCTCGCCTTTTGACCCTAAATCAATTAGGAAGATTCGAACATAATCTCGAATCCTACCGAGCAACAAGTTCTAGTCAATTTGGAAAATCAACAAAATTAGAATTTTGTTGGTTGTCATATTTATCACTTTACATGTATAATTAGCCTCTAGAGTTGTACATTAGAAATACACTTTCTTTAATATATATTAGGATTTATTGCTTTAAATAATGTCTAGCTGATTTCATCAATTCAATTCAAGAGATTTTAACTTCAATTTGCAAAAGATTGTGAGACAAGAGAGTGATCTTTAAACTATTCTTTATGGTTTAGTATCTTTTGTTTCTCTAAGCTTAATTAATTGATTTTTGATTTTATTAATCATGATTGCATTTATAATTGTCTAAGAGACCTATTAATTAGTTATCTATTGTGATTGATGGCTAGCTAACTCTTTTAATCCGTAATTGTTTAAAAAAGTTAGTACAAATAGCAAATTAGGTTTGATTATCTAAGAGAAATAAAAAGGATGAATTAAATGATTTAAGCATCTTAAAATTGTTTTTCGGTCTTAGCTATCTTTCTAATTCTTGATGTTATTGTTGATTAGACTATAATTGTTTACAATCGAATTTAATCAATAATAAGAATTTAATTCAAGCGCAAAGTTTTGAATTAATGAATTTAGGAAAGATTCGGGTATATTATAGCATTTAGGTAAATCTAAGCTAAGTATTTAATTAAAGAATAGTAATTTAGATGTCGATGATCAATCTGCAAATTGAATGCTTGAATTTTTTCTTGAATTGAAGTTTTCCTAAATTAAAATAATCCTTATTTTATACTTGCTTATTTAATTTCGGCATACAACCAACCCCCCTCTCCCTCCAAATTTCTAAAGATAACAAAATCATTCTACTAATCTCTAGGGTTCGGCCTAGATTTACCTCTACTACAAAATTGTTAAGCTTAGTAAGTAAATTAAATTTGATATATTGAACACATCAAAATTTTAGTGTCGTTGCCGGGGAAAGGCTTAAATCAATTTTGTTTTCTATTTTTTATAGTTCGGATTGTTGAATTTTAATCATAGGCTGGTGTATATATATATATATCTTTGTTTGCGAAGTCTTATGGTTTTTAAGCAATTTTTCGACAAAATTCAATGGTAGCCGTTTTTGAAACAAGGTACCACCAAGTTATTTTTAAGGAATTAGGCAATAAGCCTAAGAAGCTTTTCTTGAAGGAAATGATATTTTACATACTACCAATGGTTTTTCCATTGACCCCACCTTCTAGAGGCCAAATTTTATCATTTAACGGGGTTTCGACCATTTTTGTGTTTTTTATACCATAATTTTGTGACTTTTTTTTTGGTAGTTTATCGCTAGATCTTCTCATCCTAGTGAGCTGAATTTTGATCTAGAGATTGAGAGAACCTTACATAGGTTGAGAAGAGAGACTTTGTGTATTCCTATAGGTCGGATTGATTCCACAAACCCTAAGGGAGCAAGATTTACATCACGTGAGATAAACCTAACTCTTGACCTAGTTTATTATAGTTCATCTATTGATTTGGAATTAAAAGAAATGGTTGCTAATAATAGAACTTTGAAAGAGTTAGTCGCTTCGACTTGAATCAATAACTATTATGTATTGAGTATCCCGATTTAGATGTCGCTTTTGAATTGAAATCTAGATTGATACACTTGTTGCCTAACTTTCATGGTCTTGTAGGTGAGGATCCATGTAAGCAAGTGGAGAAATTTCATGTGGTATGCTCTAGCATAAGGCCACAAAAGGTCCTGAATGAGCAAATAAAGCTAAGAACTCTCCCTTTTTCATCGGCGATTTAGCTAAAGATTGGCTATACTACCTTCCATCAAGTTCAATCAATACTTGGATCGAGATGAAGAGGTTGTTGTTGGAGAAATAGTTTCCTACATCTAAGGTCGCTAACATTAGAAAATAAATAAGTAGCATCGAACGAGTGTAGTGAAAAGACCTTATATAAATATTATGAGCGATTTACAAAGTTGTATGCAAGTTGTCCTTATCACCATATTAGTGATTAACTTCTTATCTAATATTTATATGAGGGATTGCTATTAATGGAGAGGATTATGGTAGATGTTATAAGTTAGGAAGCATTAGCGAGACATGACTCTGGAGGCTTTCATAAACCTAATTGCCAACATGACATCAAACTTACAATAATTCGGACCTAGGAGAGATCATGAACCTATGAAGGTTAATGAGGTAAGTACGTCTAGCCTTAAGAATCAAATGGATGACTTAACTTCTTTAGTTCGGAAAATGGTAGTGGGTAATATATTGGTGGCTAAGGGGTGTGGAATATATTCGGTTTCGGGACACCATACCGATTTGTGTCCAACAATACAAGAAGAGGAACCAATCTAACAAACTCATACAATTAGAAGTTTTCCATGACCACCTCAATATAAGTATGATCCATATTCTAACATATACAATCCAAGTTGGTGAGATCATCCTAATTTTAGTTATGGTAATCAAGCTAGCACAAGACACAATTAGCCTCTTTTCTAAGCTAGACAACAAAAGATTTAGGCTTCAAATTCAGGTATGTCTCTTGAAGAAACTATTATATCTCTATCAAATAATGTCATGAAATTTTAACAAAAGATGACAATTGGCATGCAATTTAGAAAAACTTATTATTCGAACTTGCAACATCAATGAGCAAGTCCGAAGCTCTAGATTTTGGTAAGTTTCACTCCCAAATAATGATGAATCTAAGAGAATGTTAGAGTAATTACACTTTGAAATGGTAAGAAATATAAGAAACCAAGTGGTTACCAATAAGATGAGACAAAGAAAGAGATGGAGAAAGAACCTAAAAATAACGATAACAAAATAATCTCTAACTCTTAAATCATTTTCATGCTAATCCTTCATAGTTTTCAAGTAAATTTGCAAAGGAAAAGAAAGAGGAAAAAGATGAGGAGATTTTGGAAATGCTACATAAGGTAGAGGTTAATATACCCCCGCTTGATGTAATCAAATAAATTCCAAGGTATGCAAAATTTCTCAAAAAGTTGTACGCTAATAAATTAAAATTGAGAGGTGATGAAAGGATAAGTGTGGGGGAGAATATGTTTGCAATAATTTAATAAAAACTTCCTCCTAAATGCCAAGATTCGAGTATGTTTATCATTCCTTGCAAGATAGGTAACACTAGATATGAGATCTTCATACAAGATTTAGATACATCAATAAATGTGATGCCATTTTTTCTTTATCCATCTTTAAATTTAGAACCTCTAAAAGAGACTAGTGTTATTATATAATTGACGAATCATTCTAATGCATACCTTAAAGGAGTAGTCGATGATGTTTTGGTGCAGGTGAATAACTTAGTCTTTCTAGTTGATTTCTACATTTTGAATATGGAAGATGATAATTCACAAAATCTAGCTTCAATCCTCCTAGAACGACCTTTTCTAAAAATAGCCCAAGCCAACATTAATGTTGATAAAGGATATTTCATAATGGAGTTTAATTGTGAAGCCATTTGCTTCAACATCTTTGAAAACACTTATGGCAATGGTAGTGGAGTTTGAGCAAAAGATCTATTAGGTGATAGAACATTGCAGTATGAGAATGGATAACAAACTTTATCTACATTGGGCTAACGATGTTCAACAAACGCGTTGATTGGGAGGCAACCCAAATAGTGGCTAAAAAATCACATCTAGATTTGTTCTCTTATCCTATCTCTTTTAATTTTATGTTTTCATGAATATTTATGATTATGTGTGTTACATTGGAAACAATGTAAAATTTAAGTGTAGGAGAAGGATTTTGGATTTTATAGTTTTTGATATAATTTTAGAATTTTTTTTTAGGAATAGATTTTTATTTCTAATTTTTACTTTTGTTTCATGAAGTTTTTAATTTAAAAAAATATTTTTTTTTGTATGCTCTTCAATGATGTCAAAATGTGTAATAAGTGGAAATTAATTGATTTTGAAAATTGCATAACATGATTGAATTAATTAACTTGCTCCTTAAGATTGATTAGTACAAGTAATTGATTTTGGAATGGTAGTGAATTGAATTTACTAGACATATACCCTTTGAGATTTTGAGCTTATAAGA